GTCACTGTCCCTCTCCAGGGGGACAGACACACAAGCCTGTCTGAGATCACAAGGCCTCTGGAGTCCCCTGGGTTACTACGGTCACTTTCCCACTCTAGGTGGACAGACAGACGAGCCTCACCTGCTTCATTACATAAGGCCTTCAGGTCGGCCCCCACGTAGCCGTGAGCACTATTTGCAAGCTGGACTAACTCTGCCTCTCGGAGGCCATGTGGGACCCCCTGGAGCAGCTTCTGGAGGATGTCCAAACGGTCCTGGGCATTAGGGACCCCGATTTCGATCTCCTTGTCAAAGCGGCCTGGCCTTCGGAGAGCTGAATCCAGGGTGTGAGGGCGATTCGTGGCCCCGATGACCAAAACCCGCCCCTCACTCCCCTCCTAGGAAAGAAAATGAGACAAATATCAACTTTATATTCTTCTAGGCAGTAAATCTGTTCAGTCTCTCACCCGACCTTCTCACATGCACTCTTTCCTGGCCTTTTCTCAAAGACCCGACACGCATTAAGGGTTGTTTTAATAACTCGCTCTGCCCTCCCTCCCTTACCCCACATAGCTAACAGCAGCCGAGTGCTGTCACTGCAAGCCATGAAAAGCTGGTGTATCTGTCCATTCTCTCCACTCACACGACCACCATCCTCATTCATCCTGGCCCTCATCATCTCTTGCCTCAATTACCACAATAGCCCCTAACTGCCCCCCAACCCTTTCCATCCTCCAAACAACCGGCAAAATGGTTTCCCTAAAGGGCAGATATGACCCTGTCACTTCTCTGCCTAACAAACTTCCAGAGCTCCCTCTTGTCACCATAATAGAGCACACACTCCTTTAGAGTTCTGAGACTCGACACGTGTCTGAGAAGGTCTCAATCTGCATCGTTTTCTCACCTGGCTGTTCCTCTACCATCAAAATCACATGTCCAGTCCTCACCCTTACAGACAAAGCACCTGATAGTGTCAGTGCCCTGAGGGCAGGGATGATTTCACGCATTTGTCCAGCACCGTGACCAGAGACCAGCGTCTGGCAGCTTACTAACTAGAGGCTTCTTAAGCAAGTAATCCTCCACGGTTGAGTCAGACCAAATGTCTCTGAGCTCTCCAAACGAGGCCCACTCAGAGGCAGTGCCATACAGTGAGAAGAGCTCTGGACTGGAGATCAAAGGATGTTGGCTCAAACACCGGTCCTGCCGCTTTCTGCCTGGCTGACCCTGAGCAGGTCACAACAGCTCTCTCAGTCTCAACTTTCCCATTTGTAAAATGAAGGTATTAAATGACCCCAAAAGGTCCATTAGAGTTCTAAATCTAGTATCCTGTGAAATATGAATGAAGACTTTCTTGTGGTTGGAGAGGAAGAATTGGATAGAAAGCTGGCCTTGGGCCCAGGAAGACAGACCTTGGAGCAAGTGCTACCTCTGACACATCCTGGTCTCAGTTTTCCCATCTGTAAAATGACAGGTTAAGACTAGATGATCTCAAGACTGCTATAGTTCTATAACAATGATCCTAAGACCACTTTAAAAACAAAAAGCCTATGTCCCTGCTGATGCCCTCTCACACAAGCATATACATGCACACTCGAATACATATACGCACACCACGAACCCACATTCACACACACATGAGCACACACAGGCACACACACATTGCATCCGTTCCAGGTCTGTGTTCTACTTACAGAACCGATACCATCCATCAGAGTTAAGAGAGAAGCCACAACTCTCTTTTCAACCTCATTCTCAGACCCTTCTCTCTTCGGACAAAGGGCATCCAGCTCATCGATAAAAATGATTGAGGGCTGCCTAAAACGAAGCAGGAACTTTTGTTAGTCATCAACCCATAGCAGCCTTCCTTGGAACGGCAAGGAGGGGACAGGGCAGAGAAAGCAGCTTCGCATGAGGAGATTGGCCAGCGCCAAAGAACACCTCTAGCCCAGGAATCTCCCAAGATGGAGACAGGTACCTCAAAGTGGCGTCAGCAAAGATCTGCCGCAGTCGTGCTTCCGAAGCACCATAAAACCTACAATAAAGAAAAGCGGTTGAAAGTCAAACTTGCCTTGTTTTACAAGCTAAGGCTTTAGGGGAAAAAAGTCTTTGAGGGGAAAACATCTTGCCTTCTCAAAAACTTTCAAGACATTTCAGATAATTGTTCAAAATTGTCTTCTGGGCTTACTGTTCCATAGAAAGAGAGGAATAGGGATGGGACCCCTTCACTCCCAGGTGAAGATACTCCCTCTACCAAGGCAGAATGGCACCTCCTCTGCAACTTACAATCTTTGAGAACAGTCCAGAGCAGTGAGATGTTAAGTGACTTGCCCAGGGTGACACAGCCTCTATGGGCTATAAGGATGTGAACTCATTCCCTCCTGGCTTCAAGACCAGCTCTGTCCACTAAACACGAATTCAACAGAACAATTTTCTGGAGGAAGGCATTAGTCAGTAGGAAGGAGCAGAAAAGGTCTTGAGTAGGAGGGCAGTACCTATGCTAAGTTTTCTAAGAAACTAGGGAGTCTAGGAGGGAGAGGTGCATACAGATGACGAGGGGAAAGGCTGGAGGTGGGAGAAAAGAGAGTACGCATGAGGAACAGCAAGAAAGTCAGCTTCCTAAAGCAAATTCTAAACTGGGTGGTCAGCCAGTCAGTCAATAAGCATTTATAAAGCACTACTACTATGTGCCAGGAGCTATGCTTAGCGCCAGGGATGCAAAGAAAGGTCAAAAACAGTCCCTGCCCTCAAGCAGCTTGTGATCTAACAGGGGAGACCATGTGCAAACAAAGATGTAGAAACAAGCTATAAGCAGGATAAATAGGAAATAATGAATAGAGGGAAGGCTTCCTGTAGGAGGTGGGATTTTATTGGGACTTTATGGAAGCCAGGGAGGTCAGCAGCTGGAGCAGAGGAGGGATTGTTTTCCAGGCCTGGGGGACAGCCAGAGAAAATGTCTGGAGCTGAGAGATGGAGGGTCTTACGGGAAGAACAGGCAGGAGACCGTAGCCAGGAGATGGAACACTGTGTGTCAGGGAGTAAGGTGTAATAAGCCTGGGAAGGTATCAGGGTCCAGGCTATGAAGGGCACTGAATGCCAAGCAGAGCATTTCGTGTTTGGTCCTGGAGGAAACGGTTAGACCTGGGCTTTAGGAAAATCACTCTGGTGGCTGATGGAGGAAGGAGTGGAGTGGGGAAAGACGTGAGGCAGGCAGGAAGTGAGGAACGCCTGGACCAGGGTGGGGGCAGGGTCAAAGGAGAGAAAGGGGTGTGCTACAGAGATGCTGCAAAGGAGAAATCAGCAGCCTTGGTAATAGTTTGGATATAGGGTGAGAGACAGTGAGAGATCCAGGTTGACCCCCAGGCTGGGAGCCTGAGTTGCTCTCCACAGTAACAGGGAAGGGAGAAGGCGGGAGAAAGATCATGAGTTCAATTTTGGACATGACGGGGGTAAGACGTCTACTGGACGTCCAGCCGGAAAGGTCTGAAAGGCAGTCGGAGATGAGAGACTGGTCAGCAGAGAGACTGAGGCAGGAAAGGTAGCTATGAGAATCATCAGCATAGAGATGGTCATTAATAGATCCCCAAGTCGTATGGAGGGAGAAGAGAAGAGGGCCCGGGCCAGAGCCCTGAGGGACACCTATAGTCAGAAGCGTGATCTGGAGGAGAATCCGGCCAAGGAGACAGGAGGAGTGGTCAGCGAGGGAGGAGGAGAGCCAGGAGACAGTGGGCTCAGTGCTAAGACTGCCTCAGTGACCTCTCATAGCAAATGAATGGGGGGAAAATACTACTCAAGTTTTAGGATCACAATTAGAGGTTGTCAGTGAAAAATCAGCCTTCTCAGAATAATGTTGTCTTACCAAATACCTTTCTCAATAAAATCCAACAAGGGGATTCTTGGTGGGCTCCTTGATAAAGAACCTACTTGGGGGCAACTAGGTGGCACAGTGGATAGAGTTCCGGCCTTGGAGTCAGGAGCACCTGAGTTCAAATCCGGCCTCAAACACTTGACACTTACTAGCTGTGTGACCCTGGGCAAGTCACTTAAAAGATGACCAAAAAAAGAAAAAAAAAAAAGATGATGAACCTACTTGCTTATGACTTCAGGACCGTTGATGACGGAAAGATGGGCTCCCACTTCGTTGGCGATGGCCCTGGCGATCATAGTCTTCCCCGTCCCGGGAGGGCCATACAGGAGCACTCCTCTGGGGGGAGTGATACCTTTAGAAAGAAAGACAGAGGATGAACTGGTGCAGTCCACGTCCTGGAAACTTCACCAAGCACTCCAATCTTCCAGAACGACACATCCCAAGCCACAAAGGCTGGTGAGGCCCAACGGGGAGGCACGCAATGGGGAGGTGAGCGGTGAAGGGTCACCCCCCCAGAACTTACTCCCTTCTGACCCCAGGTAGCTGCAACATCACAATACAGCCAAGTACAAGCCCGGCCATGGGAAGACCTCCAGCTCTCTCAGGTCCCCCAGAGCTCTCCAGTGGAGGCCCCTCCATTCGGCCAGAGGCCCTCGCCAGTCCTCCCCTCGACTGGTAGAGCCTTCCCTTCTACAGTGGCACGCCATCTACCCCAGAGGGGTCTCATCCATTTTATGTACATGTTGTCTCCTCCTCTGGAGAGTAAATTCCTGGTCTTGCCTTTAATGATCTCTCCAGTGCCCTGCATACAGTCCATGCTTAATAAATGCCTGCTGATTGATGGACTGATCATCCATCAGCTGACTATTTCACACTGTATTTAAAGTTGGCCAGTGAAGAGAAAGGGAGGGAGAAGCTATCCCCGCCATATGCTTTCAGTGGATTCCAGGCCAGGCCCACAGCGCCCACTCAGCCGAAGCAGACCTTTGTGTGCGTCTCCCCCATCCCAATCTCCCTCACAGAGCGTCACCCAACATTTTTGGACGTTCAGTTGAACTTGGATTTACATTAGTACAACCAGACAAGGTCTAGTGTCAAGAGCCCTGGTTTGGCAGCCAGAAGCCTCGCTGCTATCTGCTAGCAGGGAGGGCCTAACCTCTCCAGGACGCAGTCTCCTTCTTTGTAAAATGAGTGAATTGGATGAGACAATCTTCTGTCTCTTTTTTGAGCAGCTAGGTGATACAAGGGACAGAGACTTAGCCCTGAGTTCAAATCCTGCCTTAGACACTTACTTAGCTGGGATCTTGTGCATCTGTAAAATGGAGATAATAATAGCACCTCCCTCCCCGCACATGACAAACTTTAAAGTGCTAAATAAATACTAGTTAAAACCTACAAACAACTATTGTGACCTCTCTGGGCCTCAGTTTCCTCACCTGTAAAATGAAGTAGTTGAACAAGAGGCCCCTTCCAGCTGCAAATCCTATGAGGCTTGGATGAATTTGTTTCTTAAATTTATAGCAGACTTAACGCGACCAAGGCCCCTTGGTTATGTCCAACACGCAGAACCCCAGCTCATGCTGAAGACTGCCTACTGGGGAAGTGGGACAGTCACTGACCCACAGCCCAGCCTCAAGAGATCCTCTCCATGCCTCAGGAGACAAGCAGACCGTCAAATGAAACCTTAGGGTGGGCCTTAGCGCCCCATTCACTGGGCGCTGGCCCCAGGACTTTCTCCTTCCCAAACCAGCCTTCACACAGTTGCCAACGTGAAGGCCACTCAAATGGTACAGTGTTGATCACGTCAAACTGCCCCACCTGGCATATCTAGCCTTTGCGGTCTTGCTCCAAAGCCCCTCAGCAGGCTGAAGACTCATCGTTTCTCTACTGCCCAGCACACATCAGCTGGGCCAGCTTGCTTGCTGGCCCCTCTCCGGCCCCTGCAGAGGCTGCCTCCCTCGCCTGGAACAATCCATTCTATGGGCCTTTCCAGCAGCTAGTTCTCCTCCCACGCCCAAGTGATAACTTCCTCTGGATTCTGTATGAGCTCATCGGTTTAAATTTCACTCCCACCACCACAAGCAGAATGCCGGGGGCAGGGGCTATTTCATTATTCCTTAGCCTCCCTCACCCAGCACTGGTTAATTGAAGGTGCTCAATATCTGTTGAATAACTAGAACCCCAAGAATAAAACGAAGGAGGGGTTTTTACCGTATCTCTTGAACAGCTCCGGCTGCTTCAAAGGTAGCTCAATCATTTCTCTGATGGCTTTCAATTGGCTGGTCAAACCTCCAATGAGGTCGTAAGTGACTTTCCGAGGGCCATCATCCTCTGCCATGGCTGCCTGGGGCTTTACAAAGTTGAATTTTGTAATGGAAGAGAGATAGTAGAAGGTGTCGGCACCGCTGTGGGCTCCCACTTGGGCTGGGGGCTGCAGTCTCTCTTCTCGGAGGACGGGATCACGGCCATCAGCCGGAGCAGGGTCTTCTCCTAGGCCGTCACCTTGCCCGAGGTGCTGGTCAGCCTCCAGGGAGGTATCTTCTGGCTTCGGGGCAAAGCTGCCCTCTCCGGGTTTACACGGCGTGCTGGTGGACCCTCCGTTCTGGGGGTCTCCCAGGCTAAGCTGGCTTAGCTCTAAGGACAAGTCCCCGGCAGTGGCCTCAAGGTCTAATGTCTCAGAGGCTGGTTCTTGCTTCTCACCAGCCGAGCTCCTTGGAGCTCCTTCCAGGGTGAGGCCATCAGCCCCCTTCACGGACGTCGCTCTCAGCCGGCACGGTCTGCCATAGAAAGTGAAATGCAGAACATTGCCGGGCAACACGATTTTACCATCTAGAAAACAAGTGTGTTTAGTATGTGTTTGCTTTTCAATGCAGAATAAGTGATTTTCACCCCAAACCCTTCCCTTCTCACCATAACATCATAGAGGCAGAGCTAGAAGAGTCCTCAGAGACCACCTGGCCCAGCTCCTTTCTTTTACAGGTAGGGAAACTGAGGCCCAGGGGAGGGGAAGTGATTTATCCAGTTAATAATCAGAAGTGGAGATTGGCTCCCACTCCACAGCCAACACTCTTTCCATTGGACTATTCTCCAAACACTGCTCCCCACACAGGTTACTTATCCCCAGGGTCCATCCCCACCTCCCCAAAGACACACACACACACACACACACACAGAAGTCATCTTCCCAAGACTTAACCATGTTACTTCCTCTCTCCAAAATCACCAGCGGCTCCTTCCTGCCTCCAAGATAAATCAGCGCATCAGCCAAACACTTAGAGACGCCCACCTTCTAGTTTCTAAAGACTGTTCACATTAAACCTTTTCATGCATTCTACATCAACAATAACCACGCTCGGCAGCTGGGGGCACAACAGTGCACAGAGCGCTAGGAAGATCTGGAGAGCTGAGTTCCAATCCAGCCTCAGACACTGCCTAACTGTGTGATTCTGGGCAAGTCCCTTAACTGCTGCCTGCCTCAGTTTCTTCAACTGTAAAATAAGGAAAATAATAACACCAACCTCCTAGGGTTCTTATGAGGATCAAATGAGATAATACTTGTAAATGTTTTGCAAACCTCAAAGCTCTATATAAATACTAATTATTATTACTGTTGCTATTATTATCATTATTATTGTTACTATTTTTAATTACTGTTATCATTCTTGTTGTTGTAATTGTGGTTGTTATTATTGTTATCTACAATTCCATGAGGACTTATCTAAGCCGAAGATTTTTAGGGAAGCAATAAAATTCAATTCAATTTAACAAGCTTTGTTGTTATTCAGTCATTTTCAGTCATGTACAACTCTTTGTGGCCCCATTCGGGGTGCTCCTGGCAAAGATACTGGTGTGGTTTGCCATTTCTTCCTCTAGTTCATTTTAAGGATGAGGAAACTGAGGCAAACGGGGTTAAGTGACTTGCCCAGGGTCACACAGCTAGAAAGTGTCTGAGGCCGGATTTGAACTAGGGAAGATGAGTCTTCCTGATTCCAAAGGCAGCGCTGTGCACTATGGCGCCACCTAGTGGCAAGCCTACTGTGTGACCAAAGCAAAACAACCACACCCTGGCCTCTAGGAGTTTACATTCTAATGCCTAATGAAACAGCTTCACACCCGCCTCCTTCACTAAATCACCAAGAAAACATGTGGAAATAAAGCACGCGCTCACCTAATTTTCTCAGAATACAAGCAGCCAGCTCTTCCTCATTAATTTCTGCATCCCTGTCACTGTAACAGAAAGTAAGGAAAAAAAAATCAGTATTACCTTTTCCAGAAGTTTAAACGTAAGACGCCGAGCCAAGCCCACGTCGGGCAATATGGACAGCCCTGAACCATAAAGCAGGTTAGCCCAATGGCTAGGTGGCGCCAGTCAGGAAGACACACCTTCCTGAGTTCAAATGCAGCCTCACACACTTAGTAGCTGGGTGACCCTGGACAAGTCACCTCACTCTGTTTGCCTCGGTTTTCTTCATCTGTTAAATGGGCCAGAGAAGGAAATGGCAAACCCCTCCGGTATCTTTGCCAAGAAAACCCCAAATGGGGTCACGGAGAAATGGACATGTGACCAAGTGGGTCAGTAAAGATGAGAGGGTAGAGATGAGGACAGAACCTCTTACTTCACTGGTGCAGGAAACTCACGGAGAAGAAGCTCCGTCCACTAATGCAGGTCAGCATCTTTGAAGTTTAAGCGTCTTAGAGTTGCCCCAAACACTGAGAGTTCAAGTGACTTGTCCAGGGTCACACAGCCACTAATGGTAAGTGCTACCATTTATAGAGCACTTTAAGGTTTGCAAAGCTCTTTACAGGTATGATCTCCTTTGACCCCCCACAACAGCCCTGGGAGGTAGGTGCTGTTATTATCTCCATTTTACAGATGAGGAAACTGAGGCAGAGAGGGGACAAGTGACTTGCCCAGGGTCACAGAGCTGGTAAGTATCTGAGGCTAGATTTGACCTTGGGCCTTCTTGGCTTGAAGCCCAGCACTCTATCCACACAGCTGCCTCGAATCCCTCTTCCAGCAAACACACAGCAAAAACAGCAAAAATCATCGAAGATAGCTGTCACCCCTCCCTCTAAGTCTCCTCTCCAAGCTAAACATTTGCAGGACGTCTGACTGCTTCTTGCAGATGTAGGCCAAAGGTCTTCTCCCTCCTTGTCCCTCTGAAGGTCAAGCTCCCATCGATGTCTTCTAAGTTCCATGCTGAAACATTTCTTTTTTTTTTTTAATTTTTTAAATTAATTTATTTTTCGTTTTCAACATTCACTTCCATAAGATTTTGAGTTCCCAATTTTCTCCTCATCTCATCCCTCCCTCCACCCAAAGGAAACTTTTTTTTTTTTTGGTGATGCCTGGGGGAAATGATTTCCCCAAGATTTTTGTTGTTCAGTTGTGTTCGACCCTTTGTGACCTCATTTGGGGTTTTCTTCGCAAAGATACTAGAGTGGTTTGCTATTTCCTTCTCCAGATTATTTTACAGATGAGGAAACAGAGGCATACAGGGTAAAATGACTTGCCTAGGGTCACACAGCTAGTAACTGTCTGAGCCAATCAGTGTCTCAGGCCGGATTTGAACTCAGGTCCTCCTGACTCCAGGCCCTGCACTCTATCCACCGTGCCCTCTAGCTGCCCCTTGCCTAAGATACAACAAATCAGGGCTAGGATAGGTCCGGTCACTTACCTATTAGGACCTCAACTGGACTTAGTAAAGGGTTCATAACATTGGGTCCATGGAGAGCTTTGCGGAGGTACGTGAACTTGAATGGGACGAAAAATCACACCTTTATTGCTACTAACTTCTAACTGAAATTTAGCAAATCCTTCAATTATTTAAACATATCATCTGAGATAGGTCCATAGGCTTCACCAGCCTGTCAACAACAAGGTTAAGCACCTCTGACCCTGATGATTTCTAAGGTCTTTCTAGCTCTGACATCTCCTAATGCCATTTTCTGCTTCCCCAAAATAACCCACAGGCCTGTCTACAAACAGGCCACGTTAAAACACATCACTTGCATTCAATTATAATAAGTGAGGGATTTGGGGGGGGCATTAATAAAAAATTGCAATATCAAAAAAAGAGGGAAAAAAAGTCATTGGAGTATTTTTTAAATGCACAGAAGAAAGTTCAGAAGAAAACACAAACAAGCAAAGACAGCTTTGAAATTAACTGAATTTATTACAAATGTTTTTAAAGCAAGCAAGAGAACTGGGTCTCATAATGTGAGCTTCCTTTTCTGTTCATCTTTGTATATAGAAATGTTTCTGTCTGTCACTTTGGAGTAATAAAAAAATCTATTTTAAAATGAAATGCACTGATCATATTATAAAATTGCAATGGAGGAAGCCAGGCCAACCAGCACTCATCCCCTCATGTCAATGAACCCACGCACAGTTCACCCAAGAGTCCCCAGCCCCTCCCCAGCAGCCCTCAGAGAACCGATCCAAACCTCAGCACCAGGTCCACTCTCTCAGCCGGTACCAGGGTCCCCGTGAGAGGCTCTACCAGGACCCCATCTCCAGGCTTCACTCCCAAGTTCCTCTGAACCCCCTCACTCAGGCCAACCTTCCTTCCAGGAAATCCTGCCACAGGCCACGCGGTGCAGACCTGTACACAGAAAAGAAAACATAGGCCGTTAAGACCCACACCTCGATTTTCTCCAGAAGGTCAGGAAGTAAACTGGCAAAATTCAAGAACTCTCACCTCTTGCTGTCCGGCCCCACTGGTGAGCAGCGCTGGCCGGCCAATACAGAGGTTGGCAGATTTCATCGTGTTGAGGCCGAGTTGGGAAAAGAAATTTTGGAATGCTTTTGGGACAGGGTCGTCTGCTGTAAAAGCAAAGAAAACATTTTTTTTCCTTAAGCACTTTAATAAAAGCAACTACTCGCATGGTTGGCATGAAATCACAAAAATCATCTGTTTGTACAATACATAAGAGCCTTCCCACTCTGGTCATATTAATTCACATTGAGGTCAAGTGGGGCGGGGGAAGGGAACAGGCATTTATCAAATCCTACCTGCCACACACTGTGCTAAGAGCATTGCAATTATTATTTCACCTAAGATTCACAAAAACTCTGGAAGGCAGGGTGCATTATTACTCTCATTTTACAATTTAGGAAACTGAGGCAGACAGAGGGTAAGTGATTTGCTCACGGTTACACTGCCAGTATCTGAGACTGGATTAGAACTCAGGGTTTCCTGACTCCAGGCCTAGCACTCTGTCTACTACACCACCAAGCTGCCTCTTAATGTAAAGAACACTTTCTCGTTCAGTAGTTTTTTCAGTCCTATCAGACTCTTTGTGACCCCATTTGGGGTTTTCTTGGTAAATATATTAGAGTGATTTGTCATTTCCTTTTCCAGCTTGACAGATGAGGAAACTGAGGCAAACAGGATTAAGTGACTTGCCCAGGGTCACCTAGAGAGGAAGTGTCTGAGGCGGGATTTGAATTCATAAAGATGAGTTTTCCTGATTCCAAGCCCAGTGCTCTAACCACTGAGCCACTGAGCTGGCACCTGCCTGGCACAAAGCAGGCACCTAACAAATACTTACTGACCAACTGACCTTTCATCAATGAATCTGTAGGCAAGAGAACTGGGTTTCAATCCTGACTCTAACCACTTACTGGCAGTGTAAACTTGGGTAAGGCACAGCCTCTCTCTGGGCCTCAGTTTCCCCAACTGTAAAGCAAAGAGGTTGGATTAGAGGACCTCAAAGCTGCCTCTGGGCTCTAAATAGGAGTGACCCTTGGATCCTTGGACACCACTCTAAGTCGGTAATACCGCCTGCCTAGCATCACAAACACCTTGGGATCCCACTCCTAAACCGCAGGTTCAAGGCCACCGGCCTATCCAGATTAGGAAACCCAGGAGGCTGGGGTCTCCCACCTCAAGGTGCTCAGAACAAGAGACTGGAAAAAGCAAACCACCGTGTACCACCTACTCTGTGGGGTCACTGGGAGGAAAAGCACGTGCAAGCCCAACACGGCTCCATAATCAGAGTGTTGATATTAACAACAGTCTCCCTTTCCTACGGTTACTCCCAGCGCTGAAGGCTACAGAGCTGGGCTCAGAACCTGGGAATTCAATCCCACCTGGGACCCATCCAGGCTGTGGGACCCGGGGAAAGACTCTAGGCAACGCTCTGTGAGCTGGACAAAAGGTGCTGACGCTCCAGGGGAGGACATTTCCCCATCAAGGACTCCCTCTGCGGATGAAATCATAGGTGCAATGCCCAGCCCCACGTGACACATCGTTAAGAGGCCCCCTTAATGTTGTTCTCTCCTTTCATTCACTCACACATCAGGCAGAGCCATGGGTTTACAGGACACGGGTCTGACGGGGCCCTTCTAGTGCCACCCGCATTTGACAGAGAAGGAAACTGAGGCCCACGGAGGGGAGGGGCCAGGAGAGGGCTGAGCCAGGAGCAGATGCCAGCTTCTCTGGCTGCAGACGGGGTGGCCCCCTCCCCAGCTTTGCAGGGTCTCTCAGCAGCACGCACGTGGTCGCAGCCCCCGCCCCCGCCCCCTTCGGCCAGTCCCGCCCTTCCTCCCAGGGTTTCACCTTTTTCCACGAAATCCACCGCGACCAGGCAGCCGGCGCCGGGGCCGGGGCCGGGGCCAGGGCCAGGGCCGGGCGTGCCCGCGGGCGAGGGCCCGGGGGAGCCGCTGCCGGCGCCCTGGCTCCGCCGCGCTCTGCTTTTCTTGGAGGACATGCCGGCACGGAAGGCTCGGCCCGGGAGCAGGAGGAGCCCGGGCCGCCCGCACACCGTGAGCGCAGAGAAAAACTTCCGGGGCAGAGGTTGCCGCGACTCCGCCCCCGCCCCGCCCCGCCGAGTTGAAATCCTCGGAGCCCGGAGCCGACCTGGGCCTTGCAAGCACGGCTACTGAGGCAGGGACTGTGGCCGAGCTGCGGCTTTCCCGGCCGCGGTCAGGAGCTAGCCTGCACCCTACGTCATTAGAGGAGCTTAATGAATCCTCCTGGGGCTGTACCGACTTCCTGGGGGCAGAGGATAGGGGGTGGGAAGGTTGGCTCGGGGCCCAGTAATGCCCTGGTCATGTTACAAAGGAGGAAACTGAGGCCAGGATTGCGAGCCAGGCCTCTTCCTTCCCTGCTGGAGTCTCCAAAGGGCAGTGGGGTGCAGCCTGCTGTCCGCGCTCCTGGGTCTTTGAGCAGGTCCGGGTGAGGCTGGGGATGGGGCCGGGGCGGCGCTGATATTCGCAGGCCTACGGCCGGCCCCGCCCCCTCCGGTGCACCGGGAGGGCTCCGGGGCTGCAGGCGGGATGTGGCCGGGGCTGCTGCCGTGGAGGAGGCGGCCGCTGCTACGGCTGCAGCTTCTGCGGGGCTTCTTACCGGGGAGGCGGCGGCAGCTGCTACGGCTGCAGGAGGCCGCCCGCGCGCTGTCCAGCGGCCTGCGAGGCGAGGTCGACCGCTTCGGGGGCGTTACAGTGCGCTTGGGCCAGCTCCAGCCTGCGGACAGCCCGGACCCGGCCGCCTTCCGGACGTGGCTCCAGGGCAAGTGCGCCGCCCCCTCCCCCCGCGTGCAGAGCCTGGGTCCTGTCCGGGCTCAGCCCTGGTTAGCACTCCTGGCCTCAGTCTCCCCATCTGGACGACAGGCATTTATTGGCCTTCGTCTCCACCGCACAGAATGCAGCCGGGCTAGCCTGGCGTGGCCTTTTAGGGGGCGTCAAACGAGATGTCCCGTGTGCTCCTCGCTTTGCAATCCTGAAAGCGCTGAGGAGAAGTTAGCCAGGATTGCCAGGACGCTTGCCCTAAGCCGAGTCTCGCCCGGAAGTGGCTGAGCCAGTCTTTGAACCCTGATCTGCTGGGTTTTTGCCGCCGGGATGGCCCACGGCACCTGGGTGGTGCAGCGAACAGAACTCTGACCCTGGAGTCAGGAAGACCAGGTTCAAATTCTACCTCAAACACTGGCTGGGGGACCTTGGGAAAGTCACCAAGAAAAAAAAACAAAAACCCTCTGTGCCTCAGTTTCTTCATTTGTAAAATGCTTCCTGGAGGGGTCAACAGGCCTTTGTTAAGCAATTACTAAATGTTCGGGACTAGGAATACAAAAACAAGCAGACAGTTCCTGCCCTCCAAGAGCTTACATTCTAATGTGGGAAGACCACATATAAACGGGGGAAGTGGGTAAAGAAGATAGTACCAGGCAGGGGGCATAGTAGAGAAAATCCAGGAGAGTCAGGAGGGCAGCCTGGAGAGAGATATGAAGGCATGGTGGCCTGGGCTCTCTTAAACGGAGGTCTGGAAGGAACCAGCCAATCAGAGGGAGAAGCTGAAGGGGCAGTGGGGACACCAGTGGGGTGTGAAGTTTTGGACTGGAGTAACCAAGCAGGGGCATTTCTGAGACATTGTGGGGAAAGTCCGGGAGTCTGGAGTGCACCCTGAAGGGACAGTTGTGAGACTCAACCGAATAACAAGTGTAAATCGCTTTGCAAACGCTGCCTGGGGGGCCCCTTGGCTGGGCTAGGAGGCAGCCCCAGGCCAGACAGCCAGTTGTAGGGGGTGAGAGCTCCCCAAGGCCCCCTTTGGTCCTCCTTTCCAGAGGATTTTGGTATTGCGTCAAAGCTTTATCTAAAATGTTTTATTTCTCTTGGTTGCTTTCCCAATAGGAAACAACGACCCCAGGTTTCTGAGGGAGTCATTTCTTCTACCTGTGCAGCTTGGGAACCTTCTCTTCAGTTTCAAATCTTAGAGTGTTCCCTAGATTACTGAGAGCTTAACAGTGACTGGCCCAGGATCACACAGCCAGTTTGTGTGGGAGGCAGGGACAGGCCCAGGTTTTCCTGCCTCCAGGGCTCCAATTTCTGCTCTCCCCTCCCCCATCCTTCTCCTTTCCTCCCTTTTTCCCTCTTCCCCACCCCACACTACCCTCTCCCATTGCAAATTCTAAATTGGACAAACCAGAGACCTCTGTTGTTTGTACCGTACCGAAAGCACAGGCTCAAAGCTGGAGGGAAGCTAGGTAGATATCCATCCCTCTTTTTGGACTAAGACTGTGACTCAAAAGGGGAAGGGTTTGTCCAAGGTCACGTGGATATTAACAGAAGCAGAATTCAAACCCAGACCTTCTGTCTCCAAATGCTTCTCTACATTGAACATCACACAACTTGCTAACACTTTATATGTAGTCATAAATACACTCTCCCCCGTCAGCCCTTTTCCATATCTGCATTTCCCAGGTAGCAGAAGGGGCTGGTGCATCTCCACTAACTAGAAGACGTTAGGTTGAGCATTCTTTACTTAACCAGTGTGCTCCACCTACTAATACCATAGAATACTAATTAATAATACTTATAATTAATCATCTTCTGACTTCAAATCTGGCCTTAGATACTCACTAGCTCTGTGATCCTGGGCAAATCACTTAACCCCATTTGCCTCAGTTTCCTCATCTGTAAAATGAACTGGAGAAGGAGAGGACAAACCACTCCAGTATCTTGGCCAAGAAAACCCTAGATGGGGTCACAAAGGGTCAGACATGACTCAACAACAACATAGAATTATATTAGTCCATAACATAGTATATCATATATAATATACAATATTACGTTATGTAATTTAATATATAATTGTGTATAATATATGATAAAACAATCTATTTCATGATATTAAACTGTTCCAATATATTATATTAAGAATAATTATATTAATAATATATTAGATATATGTTATATGTGTCATTTCTAACTTGGAGAAAGATATGTCCAAACAGGCACAGTCCCCCGTGCCTTCCAACATGCCCTCAAAAGATTTCTGACAGTACCGGAATCAGAAGGAAGAATGTTACAGTGCATAACAATGCAGTTCTGGGCTGACCTTATAGAAATTGAGCAAGTCCCAGCCCATTCCTCCCAGACCCCATCTCTTGGGGAGTCAATGAGATCCCTCCCAGAGATCTCTCTCACAGATCGGATTAAATAGGAAGGTGCCTCCAATAGACTTGTGGAGAGGCCATTTCCCTAGAGGGTGGACCCTGGGGTGATCCCTTCCTGGAGAAATTGAAAAGATTACCTTTTAATCTATTCACTTAATGAAAGATCTGTTCATCCTGTCACCCACCTTTCCAAGCCCTTGCTTTTCCCTGGAGCCTAGAACTAGAACTTAAGAGAAAAGTATTTCTTAGTATTTCTAGAGAAACTAAAAAAAGAGGGTTTTTAATATGCTTCCACACTCTTCTTGTGTGGACGGGGCATGTGGAAGATACCCAAGAAATACATTATGCCCTAGCCTCAAGGATCCTAGTAAGAAGAGCT